TGGTAATTACGCAGCAGCATCTCACAGCCCACATCCATCCTCGCCCCAGACCGTGGGTTACGTGCACCGTGATGGTTTGCGATTTTTGTGGTCGTGTTTTCCTGCATGAGCAGAAGAGATAAAAGAGCAACAGAAGCACGAGCCAGGTAGCTTGGTGGTATTCAGGGTTTTCCATCGGTACAGCCCTTGGTGTTTCCTCCCCACGAGGTTTATAAGCTCAGTTCACACTCTCAAGCTCTTCTTCAAAAGCCAGTAAAATAAGAGACCTGCAAAGAGACTTCCAGTGCAGCAGTGAAGCTGGGACTGAGCTTTGTCCTGCAGCCCTTGGTCTCTTGTTCAGGTCTCCCTTTGCCGTAAGTCTTTAGAGGGGAAAAGAAAAATATGCAGGAGCAGAAAGTGGCTGGACTGAGGCCATTTCTGATTTTCCACTCCCCATCACAGCTCGTAAATGGCTCTAAAAGGAGGGGGAGAGTTTCACACCGGGCACCTTTGCTCTGGCATCAGTGAAGCAGCTCAGCCCTGGCAGAAGCAGGGATCGGAGCGGGGCTCCATCCTCCAGCACATGGGAAAGAGAGGAGAGGACCAGAAGGTCACTTGGGCGAGTGCATCTCCCAACACACGAGGATGGTGGCGGTCCCAAGCCCTCTGCAAGCCAGAGGAGCTGCAGATGAAGAGGGATGCCCGAGCACGGCCCTTCCACTCCCCCTGCTTGCCATAAACCGCGCATTCGCCAACAGACGATGGGGTGATTTCCTTTGGGCTCTGCCACCAAGTCAACACGATGGGGATCCACTCCCATGGCTGCCCTGAACGAGGGGAAAAGCAGAGCTGAGCAATGGAAAGCTTGGAGAAACCCAGGTCGAGTCAGTCCTTGGCAGTACTCGCAAAGGAGAGGGTTGGGGCCGTTTGCTCGGCCCCCGGACAGAAAGCTGGCAGAAGATACATCTCAAAGGGACTGGCTCTTCTCCCTTCTCTCCTGCACCGAAGGGCAGAGTTTGAAGTGTTCAAACCTATATATTTTTGTATGTAAATATTCCTGCTATTCATTAGCAATGTATTCAGCACACTTCACGTACCTGTGCACTGCACTACGGGGAAGTAATTTTGGAGGGGGGGGT